AGATATGCAGACGATACCACTCTAATGGCAGAAAGAGAAGAGGACCTAAAGAGGCTCTTGCTCAGGGTAAAAGAGGAGAGCGCAAAAGTGGGCTTGAAGCTCAACATCAAAAAAACTAAGATCATGGCATCTGGCCCCATCACTCCTTGGCAAATAGAAGGGGAAGTCGTGGAAGTAGTGACAGACTTCACGTTCCTGGGATCCCAGATCACCGCAGACTGTGACAGCAGCCATGAAATTAAAAGACGCCTGCTCCTTGGGAGGAAAGCGATGGCGAACCTAAACAGCATGATAAAAAGTAGAGACGTCACCCTGCCAACAAAAGTCCGCATGGTCAAAGCAATGGTATTCCCAGTAGTCATGTATGGCTGCGAGAGTTGGACTATAAGGAAGGCCGAGCGCCGAAGAATAGATTCTTTTGAACTATGGTGCTGGAGAAGACTCTTGAGAGTCCCTTGGACTGCAAAAAGATCAAATCAGTCAATCCTAAAAGAAATCAAAGTCAATCCTAAAAGAAATCAATCCTGACTGTTCCCTAGAAGGCCAGATAATAAAACTGAAGCTCAAATACTTTGGCCACCGAATGAGAAGGGAGCACTCACTGGAGAAGACCCTGATGCTGAGAAAGATTGAAGGTCAAAGAAGACGGGGACGGCAAAGGATGAGATGGTCAGACAGTGTCATAGATGCAACGAACATGAAATTGAGCAAACTTCAGAGGACGGCGGAAGACAGGAAGGCCTGGCGGGATCTGGTCCATGGGGTCGCGAAGAGTCGGACTCGACTGTGCGACTGAACAACAACGAACTACCATTTGCTCATGCTATTTTGTGTCAGCTCCCATAAAAAACCCTTCAAGACTCCTGCTGTTATCCCTCCCCTTTCTTTGGTAGCAGGGGGATGATCGCTTCCCTTTCCTGGGGAGGGAGTGGCATCCAGTTGACAATGCGTGCGTGCGGGGGAGACCTAGGCTGCAGCATCGCTATAAAATGCTTTGAGGTCCCTCGCGCTAGACGTCTGCAGGAAACCATAGACAGGCTCTGCAGCCTACCTTGGCTATCTCCCTGGGCCGCTCATTTGCCCTGGAACTGAAAAATCCCCCCCCCCAAAGGAAGAAGAAAGGAGTCTACCCAGAGGAGTCTCAGAGGAGTCTCAGAGCGGCTGGCAAAATCCTTTCCCTTCCCCTCTTAGACGTCTGCAGGAAACCATAGACAGGCTCTGCAGCCTACCTTGGCTATCTCCCTGGGCCGCTCATTTGCCCTGGAACTGAAAAATCCCCCCCCCCCAAAGGAAGAAGAAAAAGAGAGTGGATTCATACCCCGCGCTTCACTACCCAGAGGAGTCTCAGAGCGGCTGACAAACTCCTTTCCCTTCCCCTCCCCACAACAGACCCTGTGAGGTGGGTGGGGCTGAGAGAGCTCTGACATAAACGGCTCTTTTTAAAAAACAGCTCTTATCAGAACTACGGCTTGCCCAAGGTCATCTAGCCAGGTGCATGTAGAGGAGTGGGGAATCAAACCCGGTTCTCCCAGATTAGAGTCCGGGGACTTAGCCACTATGCCAAACTGGCTCCTTGGTAATCGGTGTCAGCTCACCAAATGTCTTCTGCTGCTGTTTTGTGGGACGAAGCAAAAGGGTGAGCTTTGTAGACTAAAAGGTATCGTGTTAAACAGAGCTTCTCCCTAAAATGTTGAAGAGTTACTATTATATATAATCTTGATCCCTGACATTTAGGGGTTAGCTTCACCTCCTGCAGCAGCCATTTTGTGACTGGTTCCGCCTGGAGAGCCAGTGTGGTGTAGTGGTTAAGAGCGGTGGGAGAACCGGGTTTGATTCCCCACTCCTCCTCCACATGCAGCTGCTGGTGTGACCTTGGATCAGTCACAAGTTCTCTCAGAGCTGTTCTCTCATGAGCAGTCCTCGAAAGAGCTCTCTCAGCCCCACCTACCTCACCGGGTGCCTGTTGTGGGGAGGGGAAGGGAGAGGAGACACCAAAAGTGGACACTCAATAGACACGTCCTGCCCCTCCATAACTCCTACCTGACCTCACTTAGTGGCTAATCGTGTTTCTGGCTTGCCCAGTCTGTACTGGCAACCCTGAGCACTTGCGAAGCCTTGGAAAGGGGGACGAGGGAGAGATTCGAGCCGTACCTTGTACGAAGCTGATGCCCCGGAAGGAGAAGTCCACGGGAGGGGCCTGCATGGCAGCTTTACTGGGACTCCACCGGGTGCACATCTTTCCGCCTGGGCTGGCAAAACACAAAGCACACAAGCAAAGCGGTTGGCGTGGGCTGTTGCAGGATGGCCATGGGCGCTGCCGGGGCCGGTTCGCCATCCAAAGCACCTAAGTGGCTGGGTCCAGCCTCCCGTCTCACACAGTGGCCAGCCAGTTCCTCTGGAGGGCCGACAACAGGGCAGAGAGGCCGGGGCCTTCCCCTGATAGGAACCTCAGAAGAGCCCTGCTGGGTCAGACCAGGGAGGGTCCCTCTAGTCCAGCCTCCCATCTCACACAGGGGCCAGCCAGTTCCTCTGGAGGGCCAAGAACAGGGCAGAGAGGCCGAGGCCTTCCCCTGATAAGAACCTCAGAAGAGCCCTGCTGGGCCAGACCAGTGAGGGTCCCTCCAGTCCAGCATCCTGTCTCACACAGGGGCCAGCCAGTTCCTCTGGAGGGCCAACAACAGGGCAGAGAGGCCGAGGCCTTCCCCTGATAAGAACCTCAGAAGAGCCCTGTTGGATCAGACCAGTGAGAGTCCGTCGAGTCCAGCCTCCCGTCTCACACAGGGGCCAGCCAGTTCCTCTGGAGGGCCAGCAAACAGGGCAGAGCGGCCAAGGCCTTCCCCTGATAAGAACCTCAGAAGAGCTCCTCCCCTGCCACCAATTTTGCTAGTTCCTGAAGGTGCTCCTAGACCCTGGCTCTTTTCTACCAGTACAGACAGACCGACATGCCTACCCATCTCGATCCATTTGCCTTTTCCCCAGTATGCTTTCTTCCCCCTCTGGTGCGTTACACAGACAGGCCCAGAGCAAGTCTTTCATGCGTGCCCAAGCAGGGACCCAGCACAGTTTTTGTGACGGGTCTAATATGCTGAGGGATCTGCTGCTTGCAGGCCTGCAGGATTCTCTCTGGCATGGATTTTGGCGCTCTACTGGCGGTGGCAGCGGCTGCTCCTGCTCTCCATGGAGCTCAAGGCTTCCTCTGTTCGCGGCTGGTGTACTGATTTCTGTCTTCTTAGGACCTCCCTTTTACAGTGGGAGTCATTCAGCAGTGGGATGGGCTGCCTAGGGAAGTGGTGAGCGCCCCCTCATGGGCAATCTTCAGGCAGCAGCTGGACAAACCCGTGAACAAAGTCTGTGTCCAGTGGCTCCTTTAAGACCAACAGAGTTGAATTCTGGGTAGAAGGTTTCTTGCGCCTGCACACTTCTTCAGAGACAATGAAATAG